CCAGTTACCAAACCGTTGTCTGCGAGATCTGCCTGGCATCTCCCATGTCTCAAGCACATGGGTGAAGAGGGGGGAGAGATGAGTGCAGACAGACAGCTGACCTCCAGAGGGAGACAGTGACTTTCAAACCCCCCCACTCAACACTCCCTTTCAGCTGCGTATCTCTGCGCTGACATATGCCCTGTTTGCAACTGTCAATCATGCATCAAAAGTGGTGGAAGGGGCCAGAGGGTGGGAGCAGTTGTAATGCTTCTCTTGCAGAGATTCCACAGAGATGCAGGAAGGAACTCCCAGCTGCCTCTTCACCACCACTGTCCCCATAAAGGTAAAAGAACGCTCTTTCCGTTCTTGCTTAGATTCTCCCTCTCTTTCCTTTTCAGCTCTGCAGTGAGAAACCTCCTGTGATCTGGCTAATCCAAATGGTTATCTGTGCCAATTAACAGGGGAGGGGGGAGAGAGAGAGAGGGAGAGAGAGAGAGAGAGAGAAGGAGGGAGGGAGGGAGGGAGGGAGGAAGGAAGGAAGGAGAAACAGGGAAAGAAAGAGGAAAAGAGAGGAAGGAAGAAGGAAAAAAGAGGAGAGAAAGAGAGAAGGAGGGAGGGAGGGAGGGAGGAGAAACAGGGAAAGAAAGAGAGGAAGAGAAAGAGAGAGGAAGAAAAGGAAGAAGGAAAAAAGAGAAGGGAGAGAGAGAAAGAGTGAAAGAGGGAGGGAGGGAGGAGAAACAGGGAAAGAAAGAGAAAGGAAGAAAAGGAAGAAGGAAAAAAGAGGAGAGAGAGAGAAAGAGTGAAAGAGGGAGGGAGGGAGGAAGGAAGGAGAAAAGGAAAGACAGGAAGAGAAAGGGGAAGAAAAGGAAAGAAAGAAAAAGAAAAAGGAAGAAAAAGAAGAAATTAATAGGAGGAAAAGAAGAGAAAGAGAAAAGAAAGAAAAGAGAGAAGAGTAGAGAAAAAGAGAGGAAGAGAGAAAAGGAAGGGAGAAGGAGAAGAGAGGAGGAGAGGAGACGAAAATAGGCAAGGCCTCTTCTCCCCTCTCCCTCTGCCTGTCCCTCCCAATATTCCCAGTGGACCTTGACCATGTTCTTCCATCTCCAACTGTCAGGATACAAACACATGTACGATGTACGCGGCCTCCACCCCCACCCTCAAAAGAACCTTCTGGGGGACTGATCCTCCAGGAAAACATCTATGTGGTCTCTACATGTCCCACAGAAACTTGATGGCGTACGATCTCTCCATGTTACACCCTCGGTTGATGATGGCCCGTTTCCCAAAACATGCCAAGGCAACGGATGGGTTCCCACGACATGCTAGAGAGCACAAACTCCCCGTTGTCATCTAATCAAGCACCTTCTAAGCAAACGGCCCAGCAGAGCAGAAACTCTCCCTGTCCAGCTACTGCCTCTCCCGCCCTCATTAAATATAGAGTAGCATATTTAGGACAAAGCTCTGAAAATATATATATATATATTTTACCTGCATTTTCGGTTAGATTCGGCACCACAACCTTCAGAGATAACTTAAGCTTACCAGAAACAGCTTGAAAGACGGAGGAAATAGCATTTTATGGGAAGTGGGTCACTACCACCTTAAGCGACAAGTATGATTTATTGGTTCAGACATGGCATGTTCTGTAAGCATAACTGTTAACCCAGATTTAGGATGCTGAACCTAGCTGTTTATTTGCAGGAAACTTGCAGGGTTTGTTCGTTTTTTTAAAAACTTGTTTTAAACTCTCTTTTTTAATCGGTGCTTTCATTTGGATGTTCATAGGTCTTTATGATGTTGTTGTAAGCTGGCCCAAGTAGAGTAGAGTAGAGTAGAGTAGAGTAGAGTAGAGTAGAGTAGAGAGAGTAGAGTAGAGTAGAGTAGAGTAGAGTAGAATAGAATAGAATAGAATAGAATAGAATAGAATAGATAGATATAGAATAGAATAGAATAGAATAGAATAGAATAGAATAGGAGTAGAGTTAGAATAGAATAGAATAGAATAGAATAGAATAGAATAGAATAGAATAACAGAGTTGGAAGTCGCCTTGGAGGTCTTCTAGTCCAGCGATCACCAACTGGTGGTCCATGGACCACTGGTGGTCCATGAGAAAATTTTGGTGGTCCACAGAAAAATTATTTGCATTTTTTATATTGCACTAAATCAGGGGTCCTCAAATTTTGGCCGACGGGCCAGATACATGCAATGAATGTTTGTGTTACTGCAGAGAGTCTCTCCCTTCGAGGTCTTTTTGTGAGGGTCGGAGTTGGGGGCAGAAATTCCGATTTGGGGTCTGCTTCAGTCTCCTGGTGTGGGGCTTTGGGCGAAGGCTGGAGGGAAGCACCGCTGGTGGCAAAGAGCCGGAGGGCCTCGTTCCAATGGGACTGCATCATGGCCTGGAACTGGCTGACCATCTCAGCCCGTTGAGCCTCCAGGTGCCGGTACCTGGCCTTGCACTCCCGCAGGTCTTCCCTCTGCCTGGAAAGCCTATGCTCCTAGTCCTCAGTGAGGTGCTTCTGCTGAGCCTCCTTCTCGGTCAGATCCAATTTGAACTGAGCTGTTTTCCCAACTCTTTCTCATGGTGGCTGCTTAGCTCCAACAACTGCTTCCTGTTGGGACCCTAAGGAGCTCAGGCGGGGAGGCGAGGACTGGCTGGGAGGGGAGGGTGAGTGACATGAGTGACATTGAGTTGGCCACGCCCACCCAGTCACATGACCATCTAGCCATGCCCACCCAGCCAGTCATTAGGCAGATCATATTAGTGGTCCGTGGGATTTAAAATTATGGGATTTAATGGTCCCTGAGGTCCGAAAGGTTGGGGACCCCTGTTCTAGTCCAACCCCCTGTTTAGGCAGGAAACCCTACACCACTTCAGACAAATGGTTATCCAACATCTTCTTAAAAACTTCCAGTGTTGGAGCATTCACAACTTCTGGAGGCAAGTGGTTCTACTGATTAATTGTTCTAACAGTCAGGAAATTTCTCCTTAGTTCTAAGTTGCTTCTCTCCTTGATTAGTTTCCACCCGTTGCTTCTTGTCCTGCCCTCAGGTGCTTTGGAGAATAGCTTGACTCCCTCTTCTTTGGGGCAGCCCCTGAGATATTGGAAGACTGCTATCATATCACCCCTAGTCCTTCTTTTCATTCAACTAGACATACCCAGTTCCTGCAACCGTTCTTCATATGTTTTAGCCTCCAATCCCCTAATCACCTTTGTTGCTCTTCTCTGCACTCTTTCCAGAGTCTCCACATCTGTTTTACATCATGGTGACCAAAACTGAATGCAATATTCCAAGGGTGGCCTTACCAAGACCTTATAAAGTAAGATGGGTGGTGTAGCCCTCTAATAATTAAGTAAAGATGGAATATAAATCTAGAAAGTAAAACGTGTCAGCAAATTCTACTTACTTGTACCAGCTGGAGCTGTTTCTGCTGCTCTGTTGTGAAAGGCATGGAACCATTTTGCTCCTTTTCAGTATTGAATAGATCCATGTTTATCAACACCAATCAAAACACTGAGAGGGATCACTTTTTCCCCCCATGGGAGTAAACAAGACCCACCATTTTCATTTCCCAAAATTCAGGCAATGTTGCTCAGAGGCATTGTGGGAAATTAAAACAGCAGCATCTGTTTTAGGGAGGTTAGGAATAATAACCATTATACTTTTTTTCCCCACCTGCCTCTGCCTGGAGCCTTTAAAATATAGCTGATGGGGAGTAAGTGAAAAGCTTTTGAATTTAGAAGCATCTGTGAAACCTTGAACTGACCTGAATATTGTTTTGTTTCGTTTTTTTCCCCCCTCCGGATCTGATCAATTTATTCTGAGGAAATCAAACATTGATTTGGCTTCCTTCTTCTAGCCGTCTTTGCAATCCTCGCTCGGCACTCTTTCAGACTGTGGTCTACTTCTACACAACCTGTTTTAAGCTAGATCCTGGGCTTCGCAGAAAACCAGGGTTTCATTCATAGGATGTGGGTTTGTTCGTTTTTTTTGCCCAAATTAAATAACTGTATTTTAGAAGGAGCAAATGGTGCCCTGATTCATGCACTCTCCAATCCCCTATTAGCCTGATCTAGTGTGTCCTCTGAACCTCAGATTAGTATAATTTGATTTGCAAAGGGCTGCTGGTACAGTGGATAATCTGTCCTCAGACTATCGGAGGCTTCTGTGATGCAAATTGGGGCCAAGCTCTTGCCAAATGAGGTCAGTGAGTTTGTTTGTTTTTTTTAAAGATATAATGTAAAAAAAAAAAAAAAGATACACTTGAACCAGGAAAATGAGAGAGAAGGAATATTCTGTACTGAAACCTGGAAAAACCTAAATTACCGGTTTAGCAATTGAACTAAATATGTAGATATGATTCACAAGGGGTTTTTTTTTCAGAAGGGAGAAAAAATACTGTTTTTTTAGGAGAATCCATTCCATTTCAGGAAGACTCTGCCACCTGGTGTCAGGATGTTAGTATTGCAAGGAGGCTTTGGAAATCAAAGCTGTACTTCACACATTATTTGAATCAGAATAGCTGCGGAAGGGACCTTGGAGGTCTTCTAGTCCAGCCCCCTGCTGAACCAGGAGATCCTGTACCATTTCAGACAAGGGACTGTCCCATCTCTTCTTAAAATCCTCCAGTGATGAAGCACCCACAACGTCTGAAGGCATTAAAGTAGTTTGAGGTGCTATGGATGGGTAGCCATAATAAACTTAAGCATTACAACTATTCGTTTAGTGACCGTTTGAAGTTACAACAGGACTGAAAAAAAGTGACTGATGACCGGTTTTCACACGACCACTGCAGCAACCCCATGGTCGTAAGATCAAAATTCGTCAGACGCTTGGCAATCGACTCATATTTATGACGATGGCAGTGTCCCGGAGTCACGTGATGAGAAAGGGAGCAAAAATCACGTAAGAAATGTCTCATTCAGCAACAGAAATTTTGGGGTCGTAAGCCGAGGACTTCCTGCAGACCCCGATAAATAAAGCCGAATTGAGATTTGAACCGACGAACCTAAAATAAACGCAGAATCCACAAGGTTTTATTTGAAAATGAACATTTTAAAAAGTGGGGTCAAGGGTTACCTTTTTTGCTACCAAAGAAATGGAAGGCAGGAAAAATGATGAAAAATAAGCCATTAGAAAACCCCTACTGAAATCATGTCTTTATATGGGACCAAATAATAAATTTAGCCACAGCGTGCCCTCCAAAGACAGTGGGGGTGGGGAAAAAATGTACTCTTATCTTTTACAGAAGTATTCTTTAATTGCAAATAATAGCTGTGCCAAATCAATAGTGTCAATCCATAAAAATGTCCCTGTTGCTAAGTAAAGAACATAAATGAGAACCCAGCGAGCTGACTAAAATCAATGGCTTAAAAAATTGTTTTTTTTTCTCTTGATGGATATCCCAGACAGAACGTCATGTCTGAAAACGGCCATTTTTCCCTCATAATTGTAATTTTGGACAACCTGCTAAGACCATGATGGCAAACCTATGGCACGCGTGTCAGAAGTGGCACGCAGAGCTATCTCTCTGGGCACGCCAGCCATCGCCCGTTGCTCTTCCGGATTCCAACGCGCACATGTGCACCCCCAAGCTGGTCTTTGCGCAGGCAGGAGTGGCAGAAACCGGAAAAGCAGCTCCCTGGCGTACTGGGAAGTTGAGCTTCCGGTTTCCGGCACACGCATGCGCACCGACCAGCTGCTCTTCACAGGCACATGCGTGGCAATAACCCGAACACCACCAGGTGACCTGCTTTTCCCGTTTCTTGCGCTCCCGTGTGTGCACACCAGAGGTAGGTTTCAGTAGATTCTGTGACGGACAAAAACTGCATATTGTGAGCTTCGGATGGGATATCTTTCGGAATTAAGGCTTGGACTTTGTGAATGACTTCTGACTACTCTTTTGTGCCTTGTGAACTCTTGGTTGCCCCAGCAATGGACTACAAATACGCTGACTCCTGTTTCTAGAGGTGATAAGAAACTTGGCAGGCATTCGGAAAGTAGCTGCCAGAACTTTTATCTGCCAAAGGATTCAGATCAGCTTGTAAAAATAAATTACTGGTAGATGTCTTTTGCTCGTGTGTCTGCCTATGTGAGGTGGGGGGACAGAACAGTATGCTTCCCCTGCCATGCCCACCAAGCCACGCCACACCCAAAGAACCGGTAGTAAACATTTTTTAAACCCACCACTGATCTAGCCGGCGCGCGCATGCACGCACATTCCGGTTTGGGCACTCGGTGCCAAAAAGGTTCGCCATCACTGCCCTAGACCATTTCAGACAAATGGTTCTCCAATCTCTTCTTTAAAACCTCCAGTGATGGAGCATTCACAACTTCTGGAAGCAAGTCGTTCCACTGGTTAATTGTTCTAACTCTCAGGAAATTTCTCCTTAATTCCAGGTTGCTTCTCTCCTTGATCAGTTTCCACCCGTTGCTTCTTGTCCTGCCTGGGACATAAAAATATCCCAACACATTGGGATATTTTTTAAAAATAGATCCATCCACCCCCATAAAGCTTTCTCAACTTTAGTTCATTCTTTCCACCCTTCTTTTCATGAATTCCTGTATACTTAAGAGGGGAAAAAAGCGAATTATGCAGTGAATACTCTCCTGCCCCATGTATGTGTGTGTGTGTGTGTGTGTGTATATATATACACCTGTGACTGCACCACAAGCGTAGGGAACTCTCACAAACACCATAAAAAAAACCCTCCTCTCCCATTCACTCACTTAAAAGAACCAAGTATTTTCACATTTATTTTGTCTTTTGGGGTTGTCACTAAAGTCTCCAGATATTGTTTTGTTTTGTTTTGTTTTGTTTTTTTGTTTTTGTTTTGGCTTCTATAGAAATTTATCCCAAAAGGAAAAAAAAAAAAAGAATGAAACAAAAATTAAAAAAAGACAGACAAGATAATTGTGAGGACGCAGTTCCACAGACCCACTTATCTTCCCCCCCCCCCTCTTTTGGGGGAAGGAAACATCCCGTGTTGTTAATTTTCCCCCTTTCCAAAGTTGGTTTGTCGGTCACCTCTGCTCTTTTCTTTCAACTGCTCCTTCACGTTCTTGGTTCTGGGATCTCCGTGTGTGGAATCCACTGGGTCCCCTGACTTCTTCAAAGACAATCTGAGCGGATTCCGAGCTTAACCTTAGTGTCCGGATGCTTATTTTGTCCACACAACCCAACAAACCGTACTCAGCTGAGCTTGGGAGTGACTTGGAGCTACGTGTGCTTTCTGGTGGGGTGGGTGGGTGGGTGATTTCAGGAGTGGGAACCCTACCTCCCCCTCTCCCACCCCTCCCCATAACTGGAGGGTCATACCCCACAGCGTTCCTGAAACACAGGTTCCTTTGACCTCCAGTACAGCTGTTGAGCACATCCTCCAGAGGTTGATGGAACAGGGTGGGGTGGGGGCGTCCAGCACAAAGCTGTCTTGAGAGAAGGTGGAGGGGCCGGGATGAGCTGGAGGGAGGCCAGAGTTTCCAGAAAACATGGAGGACGATCTAGAGGAGAAAATTCTTCTTGAAAAGTAGATAAGTTTCGGGATCTCTTCTCCTTCCCACAACACGGCTTTGCTATTTTCTTGTGGCCCAAACAGGGACCATGGAACCACCCACCCAAAGGTGAAATTTGGGGGGGGGACGGGGATGGAGAGCGAGGGGGAGAAGGAGGAACGGACCAGGCATGAGTACCTCGTTCTCATAGAAGGAGGGTGACACAAAAAAAGGGGGAAACCCCCCCCTCCCTTGTATTTTGGAACGAGTAGGTGGGTTACTTTCTCCAGGCCACTTGGAAGGAGAGCTGCAAACCTCCGCAGCCCCCAAGGGCAAGGGTCCCTGTGTGGGGCTGGGTGGATCCTCCCAGTTTTGGGTCCCTCGTTCAGGGCATACGCATAGCGTACATCTCTTAACTGGAGGCACCTCCGCCGGCGAGCGAAGGCAAGGTCAACAAGGAGGGGGCCCAAAAGCTAGGGCAGGGAGCGGTCACTCCTGCTCGTTGAGTTCGCGGGGGGCTCCCCTCCGTGGAGTGCCTTCTTCAGGCGGCGGGGGCCCCCGGGGCGGTGGGGGAGCTCCCCGAAGAGTCTGGATGCGCCGGCACTCGTGGCAAATGCGGACGTGGGTACAAGGCCTGGGGGGGTCTTCCAGGAGGCGCTGAGGGCCTGGTTCTGTCACTAAAGTCCCCGAATAGAGTTTGCCGTTGCTGAGGCGCATCTCCCGGACAGATCGCAGCGAAAGGCCCCCGCGGATGGGGTAGTGACGCCGTCGCCGTCGGGAGCGAGTCGGCTTGCGACAAGAAACCGCGTGACGTAGCTCCCTCAGCATCTCTTGACAAACCGAGATCTGCAGGAGGTTGAAAAGGAGAACAGTCAGAATAGCAGAGTTCAAAGGGACCTTTTTGTCACAGACACGCCTCATCTCCTTTGACACTTCTAATTGTGGCTCGGCAAGATCTTTGTGGTTCAGCTCCTTCTCTGCTTAAACCTGGTTGCGAAGAAGTAGGAAGTTGTGGGAGCTTCATCACTTTTTTATTTTTTTTAATTTGATTTATATGCCGCCCTTCTCCGGAGACTCAGGGCGGCTTACAATGCGTTAAGCAATAGCCTTCATTCTTTTGTATATTTTATACAAAGTCAGCTTATTGCCCCCACAAACTGGGTCCTCAATTTACCTACCTTAGAAAGGATGGAAGGCTGAGTCAACCTTGAGCCTTGGCGAGATTCGAATCTGCAGTAATTGCAGGCATCAGGTCTTAATAACCAGCTTAATAACAGGGTGCCTTAGACCACTGTACTACCAAGGCTCTTTTTCAAGAAGAGATGGGACTGCCATGTGTCAGAAAGGGGGCAGGGCAGGGGTCTCAAACCCACGGCCCGCGGGCCCAATGCGTCATGTGCTGGCCCTGCCCCCGCCTGATTTAGCGAAGTGGGGGAGAAAGTCCCGATATGTCTCATGATGACACCGTGAGGACACGAGTTTGACACCCCTGGTGTAAGGTCTCCTGCTTGGGTGGGGGGCTGGACTAGATGACCTACAAGTTCCCTTTCAACTCTGTTAATTTGTAAGAGATCTGTAAGCTGTTGTGGGTGCACCTAAGTACCCTCGCATTACACCAATTCTCCGTGAGCTGCACTGGCTCCCTATTGGTCTCCGGTCACAATTCAAGGTGTTGGTTATTACCTTTAAAGCCCTACATGGCTCAGGGCCACGGTATCTTCGAGACCGCCTTCTACCGCATAGCTCCCAGCGACTAGTAAGATCCCACAGAGTTGGTCTCCTCCGGGTCCCGTCAGCTAAACAATGCCGGCTGGTGGGCCCGCGGGGGAGGGTCTTCTCTGTGGCTGCCCCAGCTCTCTGGAACCAGTTACCTCCTGAAGTCTGGACCATCCCCACCCTATTGGCCTTCCGAAAAGGGGTGAAGACCTGGCTTTTCCGGCAGGCCTGGGGCCGTTGATCTCGCTGTTGCGTCTTGGCGAGATCCGGCCATGAATGGGTTTTAATTGTTTTTAATGTTTTAATTTTTAATGTTTTTATATATGGTTTTTAATGCATTGTAAGCTGCCTTGAGTCTTTGGAGAAAGGCGGCATACAAGATAGATAGATAGATAGATAGATAGATAGATAGATAGATGGATGGATGGATGGATGGATGGATGGATGGATGGATGGATGGATGGATGGATGGATGGATGGATGGATGGATAGATAGATAGATAGATAGATAGATAGATAGATAGATAGATAGATGATAGATAGATGACAGATAGATAGATAAATAGATAGATAGATAAATAGATAGATAGATAGATATAGATAGATAGAAAGAGATAGAAAGATAGATAGATAGATAGATAGATAGATAGATGATAGATAGATAGATAGATAGATAAATAGATAGATGATAGATAGATAGATAGATAGACAGACAGACAGATAGATAATAAGCACGTAAGGCTTCATTCATTTTCCTAGCCTTGGCTTCCCTCCATTCTCTCCCCTCTCGCTGCCACCATCCCCAGTTTCACTCACCTCTTCGTGCTCCGCCGAGCGCCGCGTGGCCCACACAAATTCCATGACAGCCACAAAGACGGCGATGATGAGTCCACAGATCAACACCACAAATATTCCTCCAATGTTCTCCATACCCAACCCTGGAGTAAAGGAACACGTGTGAAATGATACAAGTTGTTAGGCAAGGAGCCTGGATAGCTCTGCAGACTAAGCACTGTAATTTAACACCAGCTGTCTGCAATTAAAGTAAGTTCGAATCTCGCCAGGCTCAAGGTTGACTCAGCCTTCCATCCTTTCTAAGGTAGGTAAATTGAGGACCCAGTTTGTGGGGGCAATAAGCTGACTTTGTATAAATATACAAAAGGATGAAGGCTATTGCTTAACGCACTGTAAGCCGCCCTGAGTCTCTGGAGAAGGGCGGCATATAAATCAAATTTAAAAAAAAAAAAAAAGGATAAGAGACCCCTGAGCATAGATGCTTATGCCCCTCCGGGAAGGGAGCACAGGTGGTCCTCAATTTATAACTGTTTGTTTAGTGACTGTTCAAAGCTGCAATGGCAACTTTGGTACGATAAGGCACCTCTTGGCAGTTCGAGCTTTTCCTGCCTGCAATCTACTGTACGGCCACAAGAGGCCGCTTTTGCAAAATTACATCTGGGATTGCAAAACAAACCCTACCATGAAATAGAGGTAGTCCTCGGTTTACAAGCAGTTCATTTAGTGACTGCTCAAAGTTACAACAGCACTGACAAAAAAGGGATTTATGACCGTTTTTTTACACTTACAACCGTTGCAGCATCCCCAGGATCACATGATTAAAATTCAGGCGGTTGGCAACGGGATCATATCACATGATCCGCTTTTGCGACCTTCTGACGAGCAAAGTCAACGGGGGATCCAAATTCACTTAACATCCCCCCCCATGTTCCCAACTCAACAAACGCCAATGATTCACTTAACAACTGTGGCAAAAAAAAAAAAGTTGTCAAATGGGACAGACTCACTTAACGAATGTTAATGTTTTCTACTATCGGTTAACCTCTGACCTTTGGCCCGGTGATCTTCCTCTTTGGGACATTTGCTTCCTTCCCACCATTTGCGTTTCAGGATTTCCAATCGGTTGTTTTCCTGCAGCTGCAGAATGGCCAGGGTGATCTCATCCCGGAATGGAGAACCTGCGGGAGGATGAGGAGGGCAAATCAGCTTTCTTCTATCATCTCCTCCTGCTCCTCCTCTTCTCCTTCTTGTCCTTGTCCTTCTCCTCCTCTTCCCTCTCTTCCTCGTCTTCTTCCCCCTACCCCTACCCTCTTTCTCCTCGTCCTCTTCCCTCTCTTCCTCCTTCTCCCCTTCCTCTTCTTCCTGCTTTCTCCTCCTCCTCCTCTTCCCTCTTTCTCCTCCTCTTCTTCCTTCTCCTTTTCCTCCTCCTCTTCCCCTCTCTTCCTCCTCCTCCCCTTCCTCCTCCTTTTCCTTCTCTTCCTCCTCTTCCTCCTCCTCTTTCCTCTTTCTTCTCCTCCTTGTTCTCCTCCTCCTCCCCTTCCTCCTCCTCGTCCTCCTCTTCCCTCTTTCTCCTTCTCTCCTTCCTCCTCTTCTTTCTTCTCTTCCTCCTTCTTCTCCTCTTCCTCTCCCCCTTTTCCTCCTCCTCTTCCTCCTTCTCCCCTTCCTCATCCTCTTCCTTTTCTTTCTCCTCTTCCTCCTCCTCTTCCTCCTCCTCCTCTCTCTCTTTCTCCTCCTCTTTGTCCTCTTCCTCCTCCCACTCCTCCTCTTCCTCCAAGCCAAGCCAGTTACTGCTGCTCACCCAAGGGCATTCCGATGCCATAGCCCTTGGTATCTAGTAGCCCCCCGATCTGGGTAAGGTTGCAGTTGAGCCTCCGGTGATATTCATTCATCGTGCTCTCCAAAAGAAAGGCATATTTCGAATTCAGCACCCGAGCAATTCCTTCTTCCGTGCTCTTCACGAAGACACTCGGTTGCTTTGAATGCATGTAATTCCACATGCGCTGGTAAGTTTGATAGCGAGAATTCTGATTGGGAAGAGAGAGGGACAAAACATCAGGAGCCTCAACGGGACAGAAGGACCATTTTCAGGCAGAGGGGAGTAGAATGACTCTGTGTCTTTATTGTTTGTTGACTAACTGCTCCATGCAAACTTTTTCCAATTTATAACAGAGACATGGATTTCTTCTCCTGCCTCTCTCATTTATCTTCCCAACAAATAGGGATCCCTCAAAATTGGGAGGGGGGGGAATTGGTCTCGGTTTGCTTCGGCTTATCATTAAAATCAGGAGCCCTTTTTGCTGTGGCAGAACCAGAGAAGAAAGGCAGCTTTTAAGAAACTTGTTTTTTTAAAAAAATAACAAAAAAACAAAAAACAAAAAAAAACCCCCAAATTATACAAGCCAAGCTTTTTAAACATGGCAAGGCCAAGCCGGCCTCCTTGTTAAAAATAACTATGGCTTGCAGACTTGCAGCAAGCTAGACTTTTTGGATCAGGATTAAAAAAAAAAAAACAATTTTCAGAGATCTGAGCAAAGCAGGTGTAGGTTTTCCTTTTCTGTCATCAAGGCCTGCCACCTTGTCTGATGATTGATTTCCCTTCGTTAATGTCTCTCGGAGTAGAGACGGCTGCTGTTACTATGGATACAGGTTGCCAGAAGGAAGGAAGGAAGGAAGGAAGGAAGGAAGGAAGGAAGGAAGGAAGG